CGAAATCTGATGCCCTTGTCGAGTGCTTCTCCCACACGCCTTTCATTTCCTCTCCCGGTTCTCTGGTCTGATGCCTACATTCACGGTTGGCACGAACCAGTGATGATCCGATGTGGGAATTGTCGATCCCGGCTCACCATTGGCGTCATTATCGTCAACTGCGGTGGCTGCCCACAAGGCTGGCGGTCACGTGCCGTGAAGGTCCCGCACTGGGCCGCACTCGGGCGGAAACTGTGCCGCTCGTGCTGAGGCACCCCTGTCCCGACCCCTGACCTCGCCTCCAGGGCTTGACCTCCCACGCAGTGGCCGGCTCTGCGCGACACCTCGTGACCCTTAGTGACCCGATTTGACCCCCGCTAGGCATGATTGCAGGGACACCTTAGAGGGACTTTTGAATAAGTGAGAAATATCCCTCGCATTGTCTAATGAGTCTCGACTACCATTGACGCGTGGCTCACACGTATTACGCACCACACGGCACCTTTCCTGCGCTGCTACACGTCGTCTGACCCTATAGGCCGTGGCTCTTGGTGCGTGCCCTCCGCATACGCCCAGCCGTCAGTTTCTCGCGCTGGGGGCGGGCACCTTATCAGGGTGTTTGAAGGGATTGACGCTCGCGGATTGACGCTCGCTAATCTGACTGCGATGGGCAAAGCAGGGCGCTTCCCAGGGATGATATCATAGATGTTCGTGGTACAACTGATTGGATCTGAATTTTGATCTCTTTTTCCTGGTTAGTTTCCGATAGTTGAAGCCGGAGATGCCAGCGCTGCCGAGCAATGACGAATACCTTATCAAAAAATTTCATCAAGACACTTTGATTTTTACATGAACAAATATATACTTTTTACCTGAAGAAGCCGCTGATGGTCTTAGGATCATGTTAAATGCAAAACGATTCTATTGTAATTTCAGGCGTAAATTACCTTGTTTTCATAGGCGTCCAGTTTCCGTCGCATCGTTTGTCGTGTGCTGGCCGACCAATGACAGGGAGCCGAGACCGGATGTCTAGCGGGAAACCGGTCCGGTTGATTTATTCCGGAAGTTGCCTCCGCCCTCCTGATCAGTAAAAATTCGACAGTGGACTGCACGACAGAGCCAGTTACCTGATGGATCGCGTGGGCCGCAACTGTCCCGGCTATGTTGTGGCCACTGATTGCAATCTGGCACATGCCAAGACCTGCCAAATGGGGAAAGTCGGTCGGCGCGCATTGGCTTCTCATGTCGCGCTCGTGTCCGGCCGGGCGGATCTATGAGGTGACCAGAGGCGGCTGGGCTATATAAGCCCTGAGCGTGTAACTAACGGCACATCACTAAACGTCAACAAAGCGCAAAACGAGTGCAATCGGTAGCTTCGTGACGAAAATAAGCGCATTATCGTGACTGAGTTTGAACGTAATTTCTTCATTTCCATGAACTTTAAACGTAAGACACTTGCCACGACTTGAAGCTATTGCACTGATTAGTTTTTTACTTGAGTTAAGCTTCTCCACCCTCCATTGATCGAGTGCAATATCACGACTTGGGAGTAAATGTCATCATAGCACTCGCCCACCCTGTGCCCCTTCCAAGACTTGAGCCAGCTGAGGGTCACGAAAGGAACGCTCCCGACGCGGCATTCCAGTGATCCTTCTCTTACAGTGACTCTCAGAGGGCCTCTGGTGGACAGCAGGAGCTGCTTTATCACATCGTTGTCACTAATTGTGACAAGCTCTGGCGCGCGTGACTGAAAACCGACGCCGTCTGGCGTTGCTGGCTTTGTTCGCTGTCACCCGTGACACGTGACCCGGCTGCTTCCAATGGAGTTATGGTGTACACCAGGGAAGTGGCCTTGCCCCCGTTTGATATGTCCAGTTAACTTATGTTGTGATGATAAAGTGTGACTGGTAGCGCTCCACTCGAGTGTAACATTAGCCGAGGAGGGCGTGACTGATTATGGCGAGGGCGTCAGTTAGCGGTTCGGCAGCCAGTTAATTTGTCGACCGTTTATTGTTGCGGCGGACAGGCCTGTTGCTGAACAGTAGCCGATATGCTGTACATTGCACAGCGCACGAGGCACATCTTAGCCATGTCACTACCCGGAGCTCTGCCGCTGTGAGTTTATAGTACTTCGCTGACGATGGCGCAACATCTCAGAGCCCGGGCCGCCATGGAGGAGCAGCTGAACGTGCAGGCAGAGACAGCTCTGTTATGTAGAGCTGTGCGGCCGCGGCCTGGGGCGAGCAGCCACCCTCCTCGTGCTCGCAGCTGCAGCCGGTCTCTCAGTTTCCAGTGAACTGCGGAAATAGCGGAGCTCTGCTCTGTTGTCTGTTTGGCCCTGCCGGCGCCGGCGGCAGGTACCCCCGGGCGCGGCACGCTCGCTCGTGGGAAGGGGGCGTTAAACTAAATTAAATGGGCCTCTGGTTGGCACGCCCGTGCTGAATATGCAGAATCGTGCCAAGAAGCGACTAACAGAATCCACTGGCGAGTGTAATACCCACGCTGCGCTGCGCCGAATGACATGAGCCGACAGCTATAACTTCAGTGAATCGACGAGGTTCAACCGAAACAGCGCCATTTCATTTCGGGAAAACAATAAGACCGCGCCGCCACTGCTGAGACAGCCGAGATAAACACGAAATTGGACACTAACTCGGCCGAAAAGAGAGCATTCCCACACTTCTTGCCAAACCAGCAGCCGTCAGGGACGTGGCGTGATTGACTCGAAAGTTATATGGCTGGGAAAGGGTGCGAGCCATTTGGGCGCGAAGTTTATTTAGTCTGACGCTCGGGATGGCGCGGCGGAGCTTCTGCGAACTGTCTCGAACCTGACGAGCCATACCGCTGCTGTGTTTGTTGGGCGCTAAGCTATGCAAATCGATACGTGGGGCGACTGGAGACGAGCCCGAGCAGCTGTCGCGCCGGCCCTATCAATCGGCAGAGAGGCACGTCACTGTCTGTCGGCCAGGGACACCGTAAAGCCGCTTATCGGCGGCCTTGTCCGCCGAAAATACACCGTCCATGAGCGCAGCGCGCCCCGGAGGACAGCCGAAGCGGTGCTGTTCAGAGAGTGGCCCTCAGGACACCTGCTGGTTGTCGGTGTTCGGCGATGTTTGTGGCGCGTGAGGCGTGCAGCGGCACCCGTCGCGACCGCGGTGGCACAGTCCAGTGAGCGCTGAGGTCGCCCCACGCACCGTGTCGGTACGGGGGCAGGGGTGACCCAGGTGATACACCGTGACTAGCTCCGGCACCGAGGTCAGGCACCGTGACGCCGCCAGTGCCCCTTACCCTCCAATCCCACCGCCCCATATCCTCACAATGTGTGTAGCGCCGCTGATTTCAAAGAATAGTGGCCAAATTACATTGCTGCCGGAGATGTGTAATGCGTGTTTCAGTCACACACACACACTGCTGCAGTCTTTGTGAAACCAGTTTTGCGACTGTCGAATGCGTCGTAGTTGAAAGTGTCGTTTCGTGCGACCAAGCGCTGTGATATAATTAGCCGTTCAGGTGGCCCGTCGCCAGCCCATTCAAGGAATCCAGCTGAAACTGGTTTCATCCGCGCAATTTCTGAGATAAGAGTTTTGTATTAACGCGTTACACGTGTCTCTTGAGATGATGTGGTTTCGCGATGTCGAAAAAGCTCCTCTGATGATGCCTTTACCTGTCAATCATTCACTTGAAGTCATCTAAGAAGCCATGTCTTCGCCGTCGGCATTTACGACTAATCCTGTCCTGCCACTCTGTATGAATGGTGCCGGGAAACCGGCATTCTTATCGACCGGATGTGTCGCTGTTCCCGCGGCCTTTCGCAACCGACAACACAGGTTCTCTGCCACCGGACAGCTTTTCTCTATGTCGGCTGACCGAAATCAAACCCGAAAATATGCAATTATCCGTGCCCGTTCATGTCACCAACCGGTACGGGTCTGGTAACTGCCTTTTTATTGCCGCTCTCCTGATTAGTTGCACATTGTTTGCGTTTTTGGCGTCTGTCTGCGACGGCATTGGGGAGGACATGATCTCGCCATGGCCGCGCGGATAAGCCCCGGGAGACGCGACCTCAACACGTTCGGCCGACTTGACAAACATGTCAGCGTGCTGGCCGCGGCTGCTGGCCTTGGTGGCCGCTGGACGGCTTCCTGTGCCTGTCCGAGGCGCTTTTTCCATGTAGTCCGTCGCGTCGGCGCGGCTGCGGTGGGCCACAGGCACGGCGTGACGAGCTCTCCAAGCCGTTTTTGTACTAGTGCCCGTCCGCACACGGCCGCCACACGTAAGTCGTCATTACGAGGACGCTCGGCGGCATTCAGCAGCTCGAGGTTTCAGTGCCGGTCTCGACAGGGAGCCGGCCAGGTGTCCCGGTGATTGTAGTGAGCTGCAGCAGCGCCCGGGGAGGGCTAGCAGGACCTGTGGGCCTTGACAGGCGCCGTCGGGGACTGACAATTGTCGATGGTAGATTCATGTTCCGGCTTGGAGTCTGACGGTGCGGAATGCCGAGCGTATTTACCATCGCATCGGTGGCGTGCTGGGCCGATCGCTAGCGGAAGCGCTACGGCGGTGCTTTTTGCTACGGCGTTGTAGCTTGTCCTGCGCTGGAGCTTCAGCGGCTCCAAACTGACGACCGATTTTTGTCGCCGATCCCCGAGCTGTCAAATTAAAGCAGAACGGGCCTGTTTGGAACTACTTCCCGGGCCCGAATGACAGCAGCTTCCGACGGTGTCTGAATTGCCATCATCGCCAGATCCGGGAAAATTAGTCAGGCCTTCGGGCACCTGTCCATATCGGTAACGTTATGAGTTTCCGATAGTGGGTATGAATCGTGATTGTAAAAATACCATCACGGTCGAACTTGTTAACTCGTTTGATGACATCAATGCTTTAGGAGGGTTCAAACTGAAAGGATGAGCATCTTCTGTAGTCAAGCTGCTGAACTGTGCACAGTGATGTTAACAGCCCTATGTTGGCTGCCTTTCTCATCGCCACCCTGCAGTGCTCTCACGTGTTATCTCTTGTTGTTCCAGTGCCCGCCGTACAGAATGGCTGAAATCTACCGCCCGGTCCGTCCGCCCTACTGGACCCGCCCCGGCCGGCCGCGCCCCGGCCCGGGCCGCTGAGCGCAGCCCGCCACCCGCCGTCGTCTCGCCATGCTCAAGTGGCTGCAGGGCGAGCGGCGCGTCGGCTCCGGCGAGCCGCTGCTCACCGACGACCCGCTGGCGACCATAGCCGGACGGGGACAGCACCGCCGACGTCCCCAGCCTGTCTACAGCGTAACACGGTGAGCACGGGGCGGGACTCGGGGCTGGGCCGCAGTCAGAACGAGCTGCCGAAGGTGGAAGGCCGCCGGAAGCGTTGTACCGCTTGAAGAGCTAAAAGCGTTTTCTTCGTATAAAGCACACACTAAGCGCGCTCTTGACTAAGATATGCATGCGCCATTTCCTGGTGCCGTTTGGACTGTGGGAAATGTGGGTTTGGGTCTGTAGCGTGGGAAGTCTGCCGGCCCTCCTGGCGATAGCGCCCTGTCGGTTAGGTATTTTTGGTTCACCTTCAAGGGTTACCAGGTGATAACCCGGGCTCTCGACGGGTTTGTGGCGGCACCTGACCGCGGCGCCGGCCAAAGCGGGTTTGTGTGCCAGACGCCACCCTGGGGCCAGAAACTGACCTGATTTTTGCTGCATTTACCTAATCTCGCCAAAGTAGTGGCTGTTTCGGCCCGTGTTTGAACAGTAGATTGGCATGCTTCACATGCACGAGCAGCGCCGGCACGATGCGCGTGATGCTGCCCCTTCCTGGGCCTCCTCAAATGGCCGGCGCTTCCTGAACCGTTCTGGTTAGATACACAACCATTTAGACTGGTTACATCACCATCTGATCTAGCCAGAACAGGCGCCCTCTGTTGCATCGAAATCAGCTACATCTGGCATATTTTCTGAGTCTAAAAACAGCGTTATTGCTTACACAAGCCTGCTTTTTGGTGTCATGTACGTATAGATAATTGGGCTAAGTAGTTCTGGTAAATTGTAGGAACTGTATCTGATTTCCTAGTACCTGGCATTTCATGAAAAGTCCTGCCTTTGACCGTCCTTGAACCACAACCTGCTCACCAAAAATAACCACATTTCGGAGCCATACATGCAATATGAAAGTAAGCAGCTTCATTTTTACTGCAAATGCATTCAAAACTGTCGAAGCGCCTTCCTAGGAAGCGGTCTGGAACCGCAATGTCTACACGCCAAGGAAGCACGTTCGCAACTACCCTGTTCGCGAAGAAGGTCCACGTCTAGTTGCGGCACTGCTGCTCTGAAAGAAGCGTCTTATCAGCCGTCAATGGACAGTCAGTACCCGTTTTAACTCAGATCGATGAATGAATGCCGACAACTCGGTGAATAGGACACGCGCTTTCACTGATATCCTTCGGTCTTCACTCTTCAGCAATATATCCAAGCATGTCACTTTTTCTTGTTCCGTTTCCGACGCTCCAGCACACACCCGTCTTTTCACGATGAATGAATGACAACTTGACGACGAAAATCGCCCTATATAGGGTACACAGTGTAGGATAATGTCACTGCATGCCTCCTCCGCTGCTAATTTTTCCCAAAGTTCTTTTCACGTAGAAAAGAGGGATATGATACCATTGCCTCACTTTTGTTTGATGTTTGTTTAATTTGAGGCATTGAAGACTTTCCATATAATAACATATTCTACCTTCAATCTTCATACATTCCACTCTGTGCATACCAATAAGGATCACAAATAATAATAAAAAAACACTTATGAAAACCTTGTGATAACACTACACGTTTTCAGTAATTATAAAAGAACTTCTGCCTTGAAGGGCTGTCTCTGCCACTTTGATAATTAATTTAATCCCGGCTGATCTCATGTCGAAAGGACTCTCCCGTGTAATTCGCCGATTATATAATCCCGTCTCTCAGCTACTCTTGAAGAGTTAGGGCTGAAATCCCTGTTTGATGCCAACGCTGGATGTGTTTAAGGCGCGCTTCCTGAATTTTAAGATGCGACTTTATGGCTGGCGGCGAGGACAGTGCCACGCTTTCTTCATATGGTCGCAGTCTGACGTCATTTCCATGGATTACGAGGCTGCACCCTGCTGTGTAGCTGCGACACCGGGGATCTGATGCTGTTCAGAGACACGTTCCGACGCTTTTTGTTTATTTATGGACCCAGGTGGTTCGTGAGATGTCGACGATAACTTCCAGATGTAGCCATCTGCCCTTTAGCAGGACAATGGCATGCAACGTTGAGTGCTGGGGTGACGCCCCGACCACTCCTCTTGAAGAAAGGGACGTCTGAGATGTGTACCACAAAGTTACTTTAGCCCTTGTCAACACTGCACGCCGAGAGGCAGAGGCCGGAGTGCAGTGGCCATATCTCCAATCTCATTTGTAAGCTGAAAAACATAAATCAATTGCTTACCTATATTACAGTGTTGAGGTCACCCACATTTGAATACGAGAGTGCATTTTTCCTTGCTGTCGCTAGTTCATGCAGATGTCAGCCATCGCTGGGCGCTTCCTGTCATCTTTGACGCATCCACGGGCTTGCATGCTTGCTACGCGTTCACGGTTCGGCACCCGCCACCCACACATCACCATCATAAGGCTTCCTAGCGCCCGGTATTGTCCGCCAAACACAATGGCCGGCGGACTCCATCCCACCGTCTCGGATGTCAGGCAAAGCCGTCTCTCACTGCACCTGCTGCCTCCGTGCGGCTTCTGCCGCGCTGAAGCTGCTGGCTAAGCTCTCCGAGACGGCCACTCCTCAGTCGCCGCCATGATGCGTCGGATCATGTCTATCGTGACAGCTTGGAAGAAAGTCCCGGCATTAATATGTGCGGCCTCACTCTGTGGTCGACAAGACTGCACAGTGATTTGCGATTTCGGTGCTGCTCTTTTACCCTCGGAGTAGTCCTGGCAGCCATGCATGCCATGTCAGCGCAATATCCAGTCTCACAGCAAAGTGGATTCTCTGAAGAGGGATTTCATCTGAACGCCGATCTGCTCAGCCGTCCAGTTTTCAGCTTTAAATAGACATTGTCTGCGCTCTACAGGATACTCAACGAAGATCTACTGTCGCCTGTTCACAAAATGAAATACATTGCCCTGGCATAACTTCAGAATCGCTTAAAATCCTTTAATTGTGAACGTTTCCATGCCACTTCGCTGTTACACATGCTGATGCTCTGACACTGGAAAGAAGGAACCCCAAAACGCAATGGAAGACGCTTGCGATTAGAACTTTAAAATACCACCAATCCCCGCCAAAGCTGAACTGTTATCTCGCGTTGGAAGCATTTCGGTTCTTATGAACTTTGCCAAAATACCGAATAATAGCCCAGATAAAATGTTTTACCGTCTGGGAATGTTGATACTTCATTACCCACACCACACGCGACCAGCATCGTTCAAGGCCCACGAGCTGTGTGTCTGGTCCGTTTGACCACCAACCCCTCGAGAGCCCGCTCTCGAGCGTCACGACACTCCCTGGAGCCCTCTCTGACGCCGAGCGGCGTCACGCCTCTCTCAGCCGATCCCCTCGACCCGTTAACCGCACGTCAAGCACTGTCTGTGGAGCACGGCCGCGCCAGGGGCGCTCCTACAGACCGCAACAGCCCCGGTGCCGGACACGGCTGGGCCGGCCACAGGGCGTGGTCACTGCCACGACATGAGTCACTGCATCGTGGTCGTGTTCCAGTTTAACGCGCACGCGGTGCGAAATTTCTCGCGGAAATGACCTTCCGCCTGACGGCTCCTCCCAGTTGCGGCGTCGCGCGTGGGTGACCACTCGCCCGCCTTACGAGCCTCGCTTGTTCCTCAGTGTGGCGTGGTCAGTTATTGCGTGAGTCACAGGGTGCGTGCGTGGATAGCTGTCGCATTAGCGGATAAATTAGGTGCTGCGGACTATACAGTTGCGGACACGAATCACTTGCGAACGCGAGTACGAGACGTTGGGAGGAATGCAATTAGGCGTTCTTATGGTCAAACTGTTGTCATTAGGTTTATCATTACGATTAACTGTTCGATTTTCTGTATGAAAGAGGAACACTATGCCCGAGGTTCCTACTCGGTCGGTAATGGAGGCCTGCTTAATATGTTGAGGCTGGATGGTCATTGATTATTACCCTGAACAGATTAATTTAACATCCAATGGGGGTTGCACGGCTGAGTAAGTCTCGAGTGCGGCGGCACCACTGCCAGCACCTCCCTCCGCTGCGGCCCGCCAGACGAGGCCGTCAGGGCTGACCCTGCGCCTTTGTCCGACGGTGATGGCCCGTGAAACGGCCTGCCTTATCGGCCAATTAGCAGCGCAATCGGCCGGCGCCTGGTGCTGGCAGCTACTGGGCACCGCCTCCCCTGCACCCAGCTGCCGACCCCCGCTGAGTCGCCATCCTTTCTGACAACGAACGTGACCCCGCATATACGATCAGCCGCGCTCCCTGCACACGGGCGAACAGCGTGCAGCGCTGCGCGTCTGTGGCCGCCGTGATTGACCGGTGTCCTTCCTTCCTCGGCAGGGTGAACCCGCTGTACAGAGAGGGACCGACGGTGCTGACAGCCCCCGACGGCCGTGGAGACGCCGAGCTCAGTGGCGACTACATCCTGCCGTACTCGCCGGCGTACGAGCCACCCGGCTCGCCGGAGTACGCCCGGCCCGTCTCCGCCGGCGATAGCGCCCCGGGTGGAGACCTGGATACGGAGCGGTTGAGCGTGACCTCTGCGGGTCCCGCCCGGCGACCAGCGAGGACCCCGCCACCGCCGCCAGCGCCGCCGCCACGCAGGGCGCTCCAGCTGCGGCAGAGCCATGGCTGGGCCGGCCTAGATGTGCTCAAGATGGATAGCGAGTTCGTGAGTGGGATGTCTGTAAACCTGGCGAGACTGAGACCCAAGCCCGGAGAGGAGCGCAGGACGACGTCGTCACGGCAGAGGACGGCAAGGAAGGCGGCAGTCAGACGAAGGCCGCCATCCCGCCAGACGCTCGTGGCAAACCCCGAGTTCGTCAAGAGCGTCGTGGTGACGACGATTAGCGCGCAACCGGCAGAGTGTCCGAAAACAACCATCACGAAAAATTCAGAGTATGTGGTGTTCATTGGATTCAGGTGTCGCCACACGAAGTCGGTTGCGCCGCCATCATCCAGCAACGCTTGTCCCAACATCACCGTTGAGCTGAACCCTGTCTTCGTCAAAAGAATCTCTCCGAACTGTCGTCATTTGCAGGACGCTCCATCTCATCGAGATTGGACCAAAAGTCTTCCTGCGCCATCATTCGTCATCGGTTCTCCTTCGCAGGCCCCATCTTTCTTCATCTCATCTCCCAAGAACGAAGTTCCTGCCCTCCGTTCATCTGCGCCACCGCTGGACACAGGCCCAGATTCCATCGTCACAGACTCTCTCCTCGTACTGACTTCTCCCGAACTTTCCCCGGCGGCCACGCTGCATCCGCGCCCCCTGACTCCCGCCCTTTCGTTTGGGGACCAGCTAACCCCTGACCATGTCCTGGCTCAGTTCAGTCAGGTCATTGCCAACAGTCGCTCTGTGTCGCTGGTCCGCCGTGCCGGCAGCGACGCGCGATCTTCGGCGGGCTCGTCGACAGGCTCGGTGGGCTCGTCGCAGGCGTCGCGCGGCTCTGGCCGACCCGACCCGGCCCTGGCCGCCGCGCCGGTGGCCTTCGTCACCGACCTCTGGCAGCGCTCCGGGCTGCGCACCAACGGCCGCAAGCTGCTGGTGAACGAGGAGGGCGAGGAAGAGACGTGGCCGGATGCTGGCGGCAGGCGGCCCAGCGACGGTCGCACGCCGTCGCCGCCTGTTCCTCCACGGCTGCCCATCAGCCACGGCTGGCTCCAGCGGCTGGCCGAGCTGCCCGGCCTGCGGCCGACGCCCACCGTCCGCGCTGCCGAACCTCTCGACCCGAACGCCCTCACGGCTGTCGTGGTCGAGCCGGCTGTAGCCACGGCGCCCTCGGGCCCGGCCAGCGTCCCCTCGGGGCGGCACGTCAAGTTTGCTGGCGCTGACGGCGACTTCCGACTGGGTCCGCCGTCTCTGGGCGCCCCCGAGCAGCAGCGCCTGTGGAACACCTACTACGGCGCCGGCTCCGGCAGCGGCTACGGCGCGCTGCAGCCGGCGCCGCTCCATCTGCAGGAGGTGAAGAGAGCCGCCGGTCTTCATGTGAGTGCGCGCCCGGCCGCCCGACGGCGAGCCTAGAGCTGCCAGTCTCTGTATGTTTGTGTGTTGATGTGGCGATGTGTTGCTGGAATGTCTCGGGAAATACGGAAATGACTGTTTGTGTGGATCATTTTGGGCCAATGGGGAGCGACTGAACTGATGAGGTCACAGAGTGACCGTTTAGGTGACTTGACGTGAGACATAAATGACGCGTGACGACCGATCCGGAGCCCCGTTGGGATGAGCTGCATGCGGAGGGTGACAGGTGGTACGGATGCCAAGCTCTGCCGACATGTCACTGCCGTTGTGTGGTTATTGTTTACCCGCCTTTTTCTTATAGTGTTTGATGTAGCTGTAAACCCTGTTCGGGGCTTTTGTATAGCATATCGCCGAACAGACTTCAAACAAACGAGGACAATAGTGTGATGTCCAGTGCGAGGAAAGAGCATGCTGCTACCTTTTGACCCTTGCTCATTTGTACATAAAACTCACGTTGTTAATGTTGATGTTGACGTTAAGTGGTGCTTTTTCCGTCTCTTATTGTCAGCTTTACCTTTCTTGAGTAGACGTCTTACGAACGGGATAGTTTCGCCAATGGGACATACTATGTCAGTTATACGGTATTCGCCGTGATTACATATTTCGAGCATGTTTTGTGTGGATGACCAATAATAATAAGCATTCATCAAAATAAAGTTGTCGTTACTAGCAGTTAGCTGACGCGAAGCGTACTGGAACTGTAGCAAAACAAGCTCTGAACTCTACGCATCATGTCGTTAACTCATCCACCTATATGGTTAGGGTGAATGCAGCCACTCCCATCTTTTACGGACACAGAAAGTTAATGTTTAGGGCAGCATTCCACACCAATAGTTGTACAAAAGCCAACCATGTCGCGCTTTATCAACTCAGTTTGGCAGCATGCATGCGCCTAATTACATTACCTTTGCGACTGAACGTTTCTTGAAATATGAAAACTCCATGTGCATGCTTTCTCTGGCTGGGTTTCATTCGACGAGCGACTGCTTTCGACTTATTGGACCAACATTGACGTGACATCTCATTGACTGTTGAACCGGCTTTATGCATCCGTTTGCGAGTGTTAGACGCCGGCGCACGTGTAAACGACTATCAGCATGACGACCTTCCCTGTTGCGTGCCTGACAAACATTTTCTAATGCGCCGATGGGCTAAACATGACTTGTCTAGTTGATGAAAAACTTCGAAGCTGCATGCTGATCCAATTCAAAGAAACGAGAGAAAATTAACATATTGGCCCTGGTGATGTCCTTGGAGTGTCTGGCTATACTTCTTCGCCGAAAACTCGGTCGGTGCCTATACAACAATTTCCAAGTCATAAAAAAACAGATGTGTACCTACTGGGTGAAATTTGTCAATTACTGCTAACTGCTAAGTGTTAACTTTCGACTGCTCTTCTTTCACTGCCGACCTAGGTGACCTGTCTAACCCGCTTAGCTACTGTGCGTGTCTGTAACCCAGCTTCCATGTGTCTGCTAACAGCTCTCGCCTCTCTGTCGCGCTTGCCTCTCTTACTAACCCCGCGCCGCCCCGACTCGCAGGACCGCAAGGTGAGCGAGTTCACGCTGGACTCGCGCGGTGCCTCCGCCCTCAAGGAGCGGGCCGAGGCGAGCCGGCGCACCCGGCGTCTGTGGCGGACTGCCGTCGTGGTACTCGTGCTGGCCGCCCTGGTTGGCAGCATCATGCTCATCAGCTGGTACTGCACCAAGGGCAGGCACCTGTTCGGCGCCCTCTAGCCGTCCGGACCCGCGCGCGGATCGTGGTGAACGAGCCAGTCGCCTCCGTGGCTGGCACAATGTCGGCCGCCGCCTTAGCGGGTCCAGCCGCGGCAGGAGCCGGCTCGACTTTTGAGCGGCTTGGCTGAATGTGCTGCATTCGTCACAGTGTCGACATATTTTTGTACTTGTGTGCCAATGCGCTGTTTCCGAGCGCCAATGCCTGAAGGTATTAGACTCGGTTAGGCGACCTGGCACAAATTGCATTCGAAAACGTGTGCATCTCAGCATTTTATCGTGTATAAAGTATCGCGTCTCGTCTTACTTGAAAGGATTAAGCTTCAGTCATCTTCGTTATGTCGGAATCTCGAATTTGGAAACCCCAGTCATTCACTCGTACTTTTCTGTAGTTATTCTGTTTTCTCCTCCCACGCGAGCGACTGCTTTGGTAAATATGCTTTACTCGCTGTTATCCGCCTTGTACATTGTTCTTTCATCATGACGTCATTGAATCCTGAATGTGACGCCGCACTTCAGTCCATAATAACCATAATCGCTAGTGTACCCTACGACTTCCTTGAGGAGTTTAAAAAGTGTATGGCTCTGTGTTTGTACGAATGCTAAAGCTCGCATTAGATTACGTTTCGCTAAAGGAAAGCTTTTTAACCTCTGACGAGTGACGATATCACAAACAGTCTAGAAGCAGCCGGACTAGCTAGAACGCTAGAGAACATAAACGCCTCACGATTTTTCATTTTAAGAAGGATGCTTCTCCGTCTTGCGTCTGTATTGTAGTCTTCCCCAGCTGCCAACAACACGTTTGATACTGCATATATCGTATTTCTCGCTTCTCTTCCCCCAAAACCAGTCGCGGACGTTGCTAGCTTAGCGGTAGCTTAGCTGTTTTGAGCCGGTGTGTGCCGAGGACCGGCCGCGCGAGGTGCGGCCCAGTTGGTTCGTGTAATGACCGACAGATGTCTCTGTACGGTCTGCCGGGACCATCGTGCCGTCTCATGCTACGCCCATGTGAGCGTAGTTTTGTATGATATTTATTTGTATTGCATATGTTGATAATAAACAACGAAAGCTGATGCACTCTATCTACTGGTATCTGCATTAGTTTTGATCTTTGAAATGGGAGTGGAACCTCCATCCTATTCAGTGGGAATCGGGATCCAGCGACAAAATAGAACCACAATCACACATGGCAAACAGGAGAGACCTTTGTGCCAATGGCGTGGCAACACAGCTACAGTGGCATCATGGCTGAATCTATACTAGAATCGCAGTAATTTGTTACTCTATAGGCCGCCATAATGTCCCAAAGGTTACATAGAACATAATAGGGAAATGGGTGTGAGCTCCCCATGCAAGTGTGTCCAGTATCAAAGCTCATTACCCTTGCGAAACGATGCCAGAAAGAGAAGGCATGTAAAAAGCATTTTAGGTCTTATCCATCATCCTGCATTAAGTTTCAGTTTCTGATGTGGGATGGGAAGCCGTAGCATTTCTGCAATGCTGCATACTACCGATCGTTACCCCGGACAATTATATGGTCGATTTAGGCAGCGCCTATAGCTACCCAATACCCACGGTCTTCTCAACTTTTGAGCAGCCTGCAGGCCCCTGGTGGCCGAATGGTCCTACTTATAGTTCGTAACTTGGCCGCCAGGTTTCACTTATGGGACCACCCTAGTGTTAATAAGTTGAGCTGCAGGTGCAGAAAATAAGACCGTAGTCCGTAGCTGAACGATTTTCGGAAAGTGTCGTGTCATCGATTGCAAACAGACGGATGCTCTCAGAGTCCAGCCACAACCAATCACTGACCTGTTCACGGACGGGTGGGTCGGGGTCAGACCTGGGTCAGTGCTGGCAGCAGAGGTCACTGGCGGGGATGTCAGTGCTGACAGCAGAGGACACTGTCGTTGTCGGGGCGGTGGCCTGAGCCCCAAGGCCAGGGTAGGTCAGGCAAGGTCAATGAATGCGGTACAGACCATAAGTGAGCGCTAGTCTGAGGGCCAGTGGAGGGCGTCGAATCCAGGGTCAACAATGCAATGAAAGCCGAGAGCAGAGACCTGAAACCCCATACGTACCCCACAGTTGGAGTGGAGCGACGCCAGTGGAGTGGAATCGAATAGTTCTGTCAGAAAAATGTCGCCAAGTGCCGATAGAGTGGAAAGCAAACACGACTTAACGGTGGACGAGAGCAATGCGAGCTAGTCCCGGCGGCGAAAATATACGGAGAATATCAAGTGCCACTGTTGTTGATGGCCGGTCAAGTCTCGACTAGCGCCTTTCTTGCAAAGTCTAGACGCCAATGCACCGTATAATAATAACCGGGCAAAGGCCCATCACACAGGCGAGTTAATACGGTTAAGACTGAGAATATTTTGCAAGGGAAAGCTTTCAAAAGGACTCGCTTTACAAAACAACCTTAGGAATGAAACCTAACAATACCAAATCTCAATGCGCAGTCAGTGAGCGGACCATCCCGCCCCAGTGACCGTCCCGGATCGAGTACCGCGCGGCGCCGCACCAGACCGCCGGGTCACTTCTGTGACGTCACGACGCCCGGGGCTATACGTATACGGCCGACTACGAGCCCAATAGACCGGCACAGACCGCAGCCAGCCGCTGATTGGTCGTTGTCCTTCAGTGTGTCGCAATCCTATCTGATCCTGTCAAGGCTTTCGGATATCTTATAATAATGATGCAACAAAATTGTAATGGAGGACCGTTTTCCCCTTTCTTGAGAAAGCATTCTTCTGCCAGTGTTATATTCACCTTTTATAACGTTTGGATGTTATTGGTACTCACATAAAAAATGACGTCTCCTTGACCTAAGGAAAAAAAACAAGATTTACTGTATACAAATTACAGTATCACACCGGTGCATCGGTCTATGTGGTTTGTTGAAGAGACCTCAGGTGCTAGATGAAAGGAAATTCGGTACGTACTTACATATTACATATGTGAATGTATTTGCAATAGCCATTAGCCAATGCGTTCTATATGCCACATTTCTTGACCCGGGAGGGTCCATCATGAGGAGCCTCGTCACCCGAGCATATTTGCAGTAGGTAGCTCTCGAACGCTTTGAGATAAAAGTATAAAACTTTTAGTGCTTTCCTCTTAACAGCTTTCACATCTTCCAACAGTTAAAATTAAACCTAGCCTCCTCATCCTGGTGCTGCCACAGGGTCAACCTGAGGCCAGTTTTACCAACAGAATAATAGCCGTCTGCCGGAATTTTTTTGCCTAAAGACCGCTTCACACACCGATAATGAAACGGTAAAGCCCTATCCGCTTACGTGCCCATCGCGTGCCCATTTACGTGCCCATTGACTTATAGGTCACAAAAATTGAACTGAGGCCAGTTTTACCAACAGAAAAATAGCCGCCTGCCGGAATTTTTTGCCTAAAGACCGCTTCACATACGGAGCGAAAACGCGACGGGCACGTAAGCGAATATGACTTCACCGTCACCGTATGTGAACAGTGAAGCGGTCTTTAGACAAAAAATTCCGGCAGGCGGCTATTTTTCTGTTGGTAAAACTGGCTTCTGCTCTTCTATTGGACCAAAACAAATAAACAATCGAAGATCGGGATGCAGGTAAACATGACACACTGAATCGAAAAATTGCACCCGTGATCTCCCTCTTTATGACTCTGAGGTCATCTCAAGTCGCGAAACATCTCTGGCAGTTGTTTACAATAGCTTTAGATAAAACATGCTAGACCGATCAAAATACCCTTGTTGCGTTCAGCTAAACAATATAAATCGACTGATATGCAGCATGACCTTTTCAATGAACTTGAGGTCAAATTTGAAAGCTGACCTTTTCAGGTCAACTTATTGTTCATTCGACACATCTCGACGCGAGAAACGCGATGCCGGTAAAATTAACGTAATACAACGTAATAATTAGGGGCTAAACGGCGGAGGATTCACCAGCCTTCTCCCAATACCTATTAGCTGGGAGCGAATGTATAAAACCGATTGGTGCTGCTATAATAATGTCCCTGCATAGTAAGCCAGCCTACTGTTGTTCGTCTCCTTGGCGTCTCATCACAGGACCACGAAGCGCCGCCTGCAACGTTATTAGCTTATGATCGCTGCTGGCGCTCGGTCCGCTCGTGACCCTGCGGACGGGGACCGCTCCGGAGAGTCACGATCGACCCGCAGCGTCACCTGGCGGTCACCGGCGCCGTCAGGCAGATGGAGCCACTTGTTACTGGATGCCGCCCCGGTCGGCAAGATCGCCGCCGACCACGGGAACTTCAGGAATCAGGATGGAACGGTTTCCAAGATTCTGCATAAACGACGTAGGAGCTAAGTATGGAATCTTGCGATCATCGTGCGTACAGCTCGTCACAGATTGTCAGCGACAAAAACTGTGCATACCATACCACCTCAAACAGTTTAACGATCTTCCGGTTGACTCAGTGAGTCGTGATCGGTGAATCCCACACTCGTGACCTCTGGCCGTTACGTCGCCCTGCCTGCTACCGTAGCCGTCTTTTTGCCATCGCACCGGTGCGTTACACCACAAGAACCACGGATTTAAGCGCGCGGCAGATGCGTTCGCGAGCATTTTCCTGTGAGTGCTGGTGCACGGCGCCGATTGCGACATGACGCTGCTTCCCATCACGGTGACCACTCCTCTGGGAGTGAAGAAGGTGGCGCTGCTGCTGCCGTACGTCGTGTCGCAGCGCTACAAGTTCTTCTCGCTCTTCATGTTCGGAGGCGCGTTTCTGCTCACAGCAGGAATGCTCAACAGTTATAAGCTAGCTTCAAGTAATGTCAGCCTGTTTAATTTAGCAGCAACAACGACAACGACAACAACAACGACAACGACGACGACCACAGTGGCGCCGGTAGGTGGCAGCTCTGGTGGGTCCGCGCGGGGGCGCTCAGGTGACAGTACCTGCTGGTGGGTCCACGCAGAGAGCGCTCTGGCGGCAGCACTACACTGGTGGGTCTGTAGTCTTTAGAGGGTTCTCTGGTGCGTACCAGGTCTCACAAAAGAACAGCAATGCGGTAGTGAGGCCAGGGCACTACCGTAGCTCCTAACCAGACCGTTTTGCCGCTCAGATAATTACGTTTTCATTTTCCAACTGCTGTCCAATTTAGCTACCTATTGCAAGTTTGCATAGTACGCATATTTATATCGCGTTTTAGACAGCATCTGTGTCCCGTGTCGACCCTCTGACATTCGTTCCACCGTTCACCGCGACCTGACCTCCCTCTCATTTTCACAGCGAATGGCGATCTGCTACACGGCCCAATTCAACTCTGCCCAGGCCAACGAGTACTTTGTGCTGACACAGAGAGACGGAGAGCCCGTCATGCTTCAGGGAAACGCCTTCGGTGACCTGGTAACTGACACAGCCACGCCTCTCTTCCTGAAGCCAGGAGGTGACGAGAACTGTGCCATGGACTCGCTGGAAACGCTGGCCTCCAGTGGCACATTTGATCTTAGTGAGGTGAGACGGAGGGAGGGAGGGGTTGGAGGTGGGGGGGGGGGGGGTGGGGGGCTGTTGCTGTTTTGGAGGGCTCTGGGTACAAATGGTGTCTCTGTACCCGCGTGTGTGAATTTATTGAGATGCCGGTGAGCAAAGGGTAACCGTTAGTGACACAGTTTTAGAGAATCACCTGACTTGAGACTGGAGTGGCGATGAGTTGTCAATGTAGTTTGCAAATGCAAAGTGTCTGAACAAGTGCATCATAAGCTCTCTTCACCTAAAACCGAACCCGTGCCTTGGCGCATTTTAACTGACATTTGATGTCACCGGATAACACAAGAGTCAAGACTGTAAAATTGGTTACCAGTGGCTCCGTCTCTCAACGACGCATACACTAGGTTTTTTCCGTGAAGCTCTAGCTCAATTAGGGACGAAACGACAAGGGGTTTCTATCAAATCCCCTCCCCAATCGGCCGAGGCGCTAGACAAAAAAAAAAAGCGATAGGTCCGGAGAGGGTTAAACGTCTTAATGACAATACCGGGTATTCAGAAACTTGTATTAAATGCTGAATCAGTAAATTCTGAACTTAAAATAATTTAATTCTGATTCATTCGTTTATTCGTCCCTTTCGCATTTAAAACTTACTTTTTTCCAGACTTCTGAATGCTATATTGAATGTACGAGTATAATTACCTTTCATAACGCTGAACCTAATAACTCTAGCAAAGCTGTTATCAAATAAATGCAATTCAATGATAACCTACCGATAATATTGTTGCGGAGCACAATAATTAATTTGCCGTTCGTAAGAAGCAAAGTATTTGAAACGTTTCGCCTGTGGCCTTAGTTTCGCCCCGCAGATCGGCTTTTACGTGATTGGTTCTACTTCTTATTAACTTGCCGTTAATTGCACATTACAAATTTACAATTGCATACTACATATCAATGGCGCCACGTTTCGCTTTCTGTCATCCAAATCCGCAGCAAAATTTGTAATGACTAATGAATATAGTACCTAATAAGTGACCTGATGTAGCGAATAAGCGACACGTCGGGTATTACTACATTTAGGAATAACGATTATCTATCAAACAACAGTTTACATAGTGCCTCTCATGGCTGCTTGCTAACTTTCAACATTTACTTGACAATTGCATCCTTCTGCCAAGTGTAAGAAATTATGAAATACTTTAAATTATTTGAACTTCTTAGCTTTTAGTTTTCACCAAGCTAGTTTTCATCAGTTTTACGACACTCGTTATTTCAAACCCGTTTTTATTAGCAATTTGTAGGTACTTGACATTCGGTGAGATATTCAGTAGCTGAACTCTCATAAACAAACTGGTAAGACAATACTGGATAACATTAGCATTCTGTCGATAGTGTCTGAGTCGGGAATCGGGATGGAGCCCACAATAAATCATTACTAATTGGATTATCACGAAACGGGCGTGATTTTTCACATGAGAATCAGTTGTGGTAGGATTACAGACAAGGCGTCATTGCACAATGACAATAGGATGCAAACGAATGCAGTGACCATGTTGTCATATACCTCACCTGACAGTACCCACTACTTCTATTCACATATGTTAATGCATTCACATGCTCCGAAAGTGCTTGGGAAATAGCGTAAAAATAACAAAGCAAAAGAAGTAGGTTTTCCGGTGGAAAGAGCAGATGGTCATTAGCGATGATGGTTGATTATTGATAGGTTTTCACAAGGCTTTTCATAATTCATTCACATATTGTCCTCTGCTATTTTAACGAATGCCCTCTCACTTTCGAGATGGGAAGAGGTCTTTGGCTATAATATACCCACTGATCTGAAATATCACATCAAACGCAACACACAAAAACAGTGGATGTAAATATTTACATCTTTCTCTGGTCATCGAAGGTAATGAGAGATCACCGGAGGGTTTCGGCAATAACTTTTGATATAGATGTGCAACAGAACAATGGAAACACCTTGGATGTGTTCAGGTCATTGATACGGAGCGCATGTAACAGTGCTTCTTCCTATCAGGTGGTGACATTACCCTTTGGTCAAATTTGTTAACGATCTTTCAAAGTCAAAATTTTGTTCGCTTCACGCGTTTTGACGAGAGAAACACGATACACAAGCAAAATAATTGTCACAAGATTTGTGTCGAAAGTTATAACAAAAAATCAACAATCACGTCATTTTTTGTCCCATATAAGACAAATCATCCTAGGTCAAATCTAGAACACATTGGTGGAAAAGCTACAAGATAGCTATCATAGTTTTCATACGACACTGTTGCTCTTTGACGAGATGTATGGACCAAATTGAGCCAGAATGTCTAAATCGGGAAAATTTTACCTTTCCTGACCTTTGGGCTCTGGCGACCTGACCCTTAGCCTGACCGATAAAGTCAAAAGAGTCCTTAATCCATAATTATTTGGCGTTCTTTCGAATGCCGCCTACCTCGCGTGGCGTCACTATATTGGGTCCATGAGCGGAGTTAGAAGGGAGGCGTAAAATGTCCCCGCGTCCTGATGTATGACGATCTGACCACCGCTCTCTGGCGCGGATCGAATTCATCCCCCTCCCCCGGCCCCATCTCACCGCTATGGAGCCAATGAAATGCTCTGCGCTAATTATCATAATGAGCATAGGTTTTCAATGAGAACCTCATATTGTATGCGGCCAAGTCCCACTTGTGAGTAAGTAATACGATTTAATGTTTTTCTCCGTTCGCGACATATAACTGGACAAACAATAAGAAAGACAAGCAAAGTCTCTCAACAGAACGGCTAACATCGAGTTTTTTTTTCAGAGCAGTCCTAACCAAATGTTCAAATATGTTGAACTAAAATTTTATATAAATTTCTGGTTTTAACGAAATGCACCAAGTTTTGAAGATGCGTCATGCGATTAGGTGTGTGCCTATTTTGTGATGACCATCTGAAACGTATCGTCTTACCGTGCCTTGCAGTTTGTATACGAATATCAATGGCTTATTTAGCATGGCGACTGATGCCTATCTTCATAGCTGAATGTTGCATGGTTTTATAGCTGGTTGATATGCGCTTCAGTCGAGACTCGAGTATGAACTCCTAAGACCGCTGCAGATCTAAACTTGACAGCAGTGTTGACCCGAAAATAAACCTTCCCACTCGTGATCATGATCCCATTTCCCACCCCTCGGTTCAGAAAGTCCTACGTTCTCAGACCCCTAACCATACGTGACGTGACGGCTTCGTGGTGCTGAGACGTGACGTCCTCGTGCAGTGCTGTGACGTGACGGCCTCTGCCCCCCCCCCCCCCGACAGATGATGTACTCGCTGACGTTCCCGAGCACGTACTCGATCACCAATGGCGGCACCGACCTGAACGGCATGAACATCTCGCTCAACAACCTCAACAACGGCTGCTGTACCATCCAGAGGATATTCTAAACACCCGAGTTGTGCGGAGCGATGCTAAAGCGATGTGGCGACTTATGTATTTAGTAGCTAGTGCATGCTATGACAGCAGTTTGCACCTCGGTGTGGATAAAATTGGAGCTTGAATGCTGCGGAAGGGAGGGTTGTTCGTTTAGGTATTCGTCACGGGTTGCGCTGATGTCTGTGAGGCAGCTCAAGTTGTGTGTGTTTGGTCATAACCCTTTGCAGATTTGCCATCATTAGACTAGTTGGTAAACTGAACGAGTTATTGTCAATGCGTTTAGCTGCTGGCTGCCGTAAGGTTGGTGTACTATTGTTGTGTTTGTGTGGCTGCATAACGAACTGTACCGTGTACAGCACGCGCACGTTTTCTCTGGGCATTACACAGAATCATGAGGAAATCATGTAGTGTTTTCAGTCGAGGCCAGGCAGACCACCGAGTAGGTGGTACACCAGCGTCGTGGCGGCGCATGGCGCAACGCCTTAGCAGCCCCGGCGCCGGAGCAGCGTCGGCGCGAGCGCACACCCTGAGGTGAGGGCCGGCGCGCACAGCAACTGCCGCAGTGGCAGTGGCACAGAGCACGCATAGGAACCATTTGCTCAGACCTCGCATCAACATGAGTTGGCGCGCCGAGCCACAGCGTCATACAGTGTCCAGCCGCCGCCGTCGGCACTCAGAAATCACTCACGTGGCCGAGATACTTGTTATTCACATGTCAGACACGCCTTGCAGCCAAACACCATCACATAATTATTATAAAGCTATGACGCGTTGCGAGCGTTCGTCTGAGATTGCGACCCTCGCTGGCGTCGCCGTTTGCGGCGGATCTCTGCCCGCTTGTTGCGGTCTCGCCTCCGCTTCTTCCGGCGCCGGTTTGAGCGGCGTTTCACCTCACACCGACACCCACTCCGTATTCGGATAAGGTCCAATACTTTGTTGCCACTGATGTCCAGTACTGCGTACGAGTACGAGTACTCCTGCGCGCACCGGTGGCGGCGGCGCGGCAGCGGCTGAGGGCCCCGAGTGTCACACGAGCGTTCAAAGAACACCTGCTTGAACTCGTCGCTGGCGTAGAGCAGCGCCAGGCTGCCGTCGCGCCGCGTGCCCGCCTTGGGGCTGGTGCGCTCCTCCACCGCCGGGCAGCAGACGGAGAAGTCACCCGAAGGCTGGGCGTAGCGGCGACGGCCGTGCTCGAGCTCGATGCGCTCGCCCGACTCCTGGAGGTCGCTGGGCAGCTGGAGCGGAGCAGAGACGGGCAGCTGTGGGCTCCGGCGGCGACTGTGCCTGTCGAGAGCAGACGACAGGTCAGAGTCGGTACATACGGGAGCTCAGACACAAACAGACCAGAGGTTAGGCTCGGTGCATACGGGAGGTCAGACTCGGTACATACGAGAGGTCAGACTTGAGCACACTCGAACAGACCGGAGGTCAGACTTGAACAACAAGCGGGCGGCAAACTCGGTAAGAGCATATGGGAGGTAAGACTCGAACACACTCGAACAGACGGCAGGTCAGACTCAGTAGGGTCAGAACCGAATTACATAGTTGGTGATCAGACTCGAATAGACGAGAGGTCAGACTCTGTAGCCCAGTCAGCGGGTAGACACACACAGACGGTCGTCGGCGAAGGGTGTAACCCTTGCATGGTTTCAGCAGCGTTTCCACTTGATTCATGATATTCATCGGCCATCGCTAATGCTTAGAAGGTATCACAACTTATATGAACCGGATGGGATAATTGGAAGTTGTAGTTATGTTTTATGATTTGACGTTTGGGAAATAAAAGGTGTAGTTATAATCAAAACTTCTAATCCACTGGACACAAAACGATCACTTTCGCCAGATTGACCTTGTTTATGTACTAGCCTAAACTGTCTTTCCTGCAATTAATTATGCTCATTAACATACAATATGTAATGATAACACACTCATTAGTTTCCTCTCAAAATGAATGACTCCACTTAGGGAGGCATAAACTTGGATTTCCACATTATCATGTCTACACATTACACATTATCATTCACTGTGCAAACATTTACAACCCTATTAGCTAATTCGGTGTTAAAATTATGCAGGATATTTGACATGATGTTGCGGCAACTAAGCACTTATGAATAATCATAGAGACTCCGCAACCTATAATGAATGCACTCCCATCGTCGTCTCTCATGTATGACCAGATTCATGCCTTCTGCGGCATCTGTCATGCCTAGCCTGGCAACAGTAAGACCACTAAGCCTCGTTGTATTTAAAGCCTATCAATTGGAACCGGAACCTTTGCGCTGACAAATGACTGTCCCCACGGCGCCGCTCGGTGGTGTTGATGGGTACGCGGAATCTCCAGAGCAAAAGGTCACAGCTAGATGATACCTGTTGACTGTTTGTCCCACGGCGCCGCTGGAGCTCCCAGCACCTCTCCCCAGGTACGCGGCCGACCGTGGTGTTGCCATGTATCGGTAAGGTCACGACCCCCGCCGTACGCTATGACCCATCACGCAGGATCGTCAGCTTTCCGCCTGTATAGGCTATTTGTTTGCGACCAGGGGGACCGGGCGGCCGCAGCGCACTCTGCGGGGATGTTAGCGCCGCACAAATGATGTCGGTGGGGGGGGGGGAGGATGGAGCCACCCCTCCCCCACCCCCATCCCCACCCCCACCCACATGCGCGGACCCGGAGGACCCCCGCACGATTGTTTCCGGAAACCGCGACTGCGCCGACGCACGCGCAGGGCGAAAATGCACCAAGACACGCAGGTAGGACCGCGACACATCGGAAAAAGGACAAGGATGCCAACTACAAGCCGTAACGATATGTGTACTAGAGCTATGTATTTGTACCTACACCGGACCCCATTGGACTTTTTGACGTGAATGGTGAGCTTGACCTCACATAGGTACCCACAACAATCTCGTCTATGTAATCACGTCTATCGGTCGATCGTAAATCGTGCAGTTTCCCATTGAGAAACAGAATAGCCGACTGAATGACAGGTTTGGGAATCTGGACGTGCAGTGCAATTCCGGCTAGCTTAGTGAACAGGGATAGCATTTAGTAAACAACATGCATTATGCATCGCTATCAGCTAAGCAATCATTCAAGCTTTATTTGATATGTGTGATTTTTTCATTAAGTATGACATGACCCATGGGTATCGTGGTTGTGTTGGCTTTGCTTTTTATTCAGAGGACAAAAATATGCAGCATGCACCGTTCAGAAATAAGCAAACAAATGATCTTATACCTAAGCAGCATAAAAGGATGACACCAGCGGATAGCACATATTACCAAATACCAATTTAGTTACCCAAGCATTGTGATAAATACACCAATCACCAAGCGCTTGTACCGGGTAGCTGCACTGGGTCGGTGAGCACGGGTCGGCTGGCGGCGCACTGACCTGAGGTGGCTGCTCCCGTGCCGATGCCTCTGCCGATGCGTTGGTCGGGAACGCTGACTGGATAGTGCAGTCTCCATCTGAGACAATGATCCGCTGCCCTCGCCGCCTACCGTAGCCGACACCAACAAAACCTGCCGACAGGCGCCGGACGTCAGTCACCCGACATCAGGCATCAGTCACCGGCCGCCAGTCATCAGACATCAGCCATCAGTCACCACTACCAGTACCAGCCGTCAGTCATCAGGCTCCAGCAAAACGTACCTACAGACCACGGACATATCACACAGGTCAGCAGCAACAATGAACAACACGATTGTGAAATACGGGGTTTAATTTCATAATTCATATAAAATCTGCGGATCGATTCAGCATGTTTTGAACACTGATGTCAACTAACATGTCCTTGTTCCCATGAAGTGAGCATGCAACTGAGTCATGAATAATGTATAGATCTTTATGCATGAATTCATAAAACAACTCAACAGGCAATATCAAAGACAAGAAGCATATTTGAGGGCTAACTGGAGCCAAAGCCTAAACTTCAAACGTCCCAAAAAGGTCACTGAACAACGCTAAAAACATAGCAGTACAGGTTTCTTTAAAGAAACCTGCCACCGTCCTCACCTAATTATGTGATGACGGCAACATGCTCCAACTCGGAATGGAAAAAAACTATGCACTGTTTTATGGCATACTAATTCCGCATTGTGATATGGCAGATATTACTGAGAGGTTTATGTGCACTCCATCTTGAATATCAAGAAGGATATTAGCAAAGTCGAGTACCTATAGGTACTGCCCTCGCCTCATTTTGGTAGTTATTCTTACTTCAACAGAACCGCTACAAGCTGGGAGATTTTACTATCATTCCATGCGAAATCATGTTACAGAAGTGATGTTCTACATCTCAGATTTTTCACTCCGTCATTGATCAATCTTTTTGTCCAGTATATGTAGGTAGACATAAAAACTGTTTGTTCTGTGACTGAATGGAGCAATAATCTCTTGCTGCCACACTGAACGAGGAGTTTAGTTAATGATGAGCTTCATTCTGTGGGGAACCGTGCGTCTTTGTAGTTATTGTGATTTTACTTATATCAGAGACCACAAATTATGCTCGTTTTTTATGTCATAGCTAAGAATACGTAGCACGCGTCGGACACGGGCTGAGTCTGAAGTTAACATACGATGCCGAGAAGATTATACGACATTAATTCAACGCATGGAAAATAGCGGCCAAACATTTATTCTGGTCTCAGCAAACACTGAGCTTCGGCCAATGAGGTTCAGGTTAACCTGCGCATGACCCATGGCTCTACAGAGCCCCAATCGTTTTCCGCATTCTGCAATCTCTTCTAAAAAGCTCAGTGCATAGACACGAAACTTTCAGCACATTCGGCTGCCTCCTTTTGACACTTGTGCTTAAAGAAAACCTTGTAAGTCGTAACTACCATAGGTCTACCGAAAATGACGTCAGAATAACGTCATGGTTGGTGGATAAAAGATGGTTAAACGGTAGTCGTTCTCAAAAGCCTGGTTTTTAAGCTAACACTGATTGTTTCTAAAATGTTTAAAAATTTGGAAATTGCATAAGTAAAGTTTGATAATAGGTATGTTTGCAATATTGACCTATGCATTGCCGGATAATAAAAAAGGAATATATGTGAAAGTATACAAATGAACTATTAAAGAACCCAGCCGTTTGGCCCCTGATCAAGCCAAAGGCTTTGCGAAAAATGGTGTGTTTTCTGTGACTACAGGGAGCCGATAATACCCAATTTTAAGGTCCTAGGGCATTGGATGACCTTCCAGGTCAGGTCAATTTTCGTTACCAGCCACAAAAGCCTGGAAACGCACGGACAATGTGCACTGACATTTGCAGAATCGCGATTAGGGCTTGACGCTGCTTCGAGAAACAGGTCCCAGGTCAAAGAACATTTCGGTCAATGTCAAGAACTTTCAAGGGTAGGTGTAAAATTGACTATTTCGAGAGAACTGAAAGTTTCGTTACACTCGGCCGCTTTTGTCGCGAGTTATTCGCAAAAAAAAAGAGAAGGGGATCCGTTTGAGCCTCTCTCTCTCTCTCTCTCTCTCTCTCTCTCTCTCTCTCTCTCTCTCTCTCTCTCTCTCTCTCTCTCTCTCTCTCTCTCTCTCTCTCTCTCTCTCTCTCTCTCTCTCTCTCTCTCTCTCTCTCTCTCTCTCTCTCTCTCTCTCTCTCTCTCTCTCTTATCCCTATAAGTGCGAGGGTCTGTTGCCGGGAGGCCTATTACATACGAACTACAGAGTGCCTAATTCTGTTGCAATAAAATAAACATAGCCTATATTTGGGAGACATGATAGGAAGTCCATAGGCATACTATAAAAATCTTGTGATACCTAATACGCTGGTACGGGGCTATATCGAGTATCACATACTCGTATCATTTTAGAGTATTCATATGGACTGCTAGGGAGAACCTACAATCTAAACCGCCAAAACGAAAGTGAAAAGACCAAAAAGGCGAAACTTTAGACTGCCTTTTATTTTGTAAGGTCCATCACCTGTATTGCAAACTACTTTTGATGAAAGCGCTGATGCAAAGACTGCCCTTGAAGGAAAGGGGATGCAAAATCTCTCTCTCTCTCTCTCTCTCTCTCTCTCTCTCTCTCTCTCTCTCTCTCTCTCTCTCTCTCTCTCTCTCTCTCTCTCTCTCTCTCTCTCTCTCTCTCACTCAGCACTCACCACTATTGCTGTCATGACGACCGGTCGCATTTTGCGTGTGCCGTCCTCGGCCTTTGCGGCGCTCCGATGATCACGACACCATGGGGATGCCGATGTCTGCAACACAAACACACCGGTCACCGGGCTATATAGGTGAGCGGCGCGTGCACGGCGATCACAGTGCGCAGGTCGCCGCGGTACACACCGTTCGTAGGTCGCCACCGACTTGGCGCACAGCCGACGAGCAGTGACGCACGTAGGAGGATCCACAGAGAAAACGACCGCCGCTGAGTTCCCACAGGGAAATAACAGCGACGGACACGGATCGCACACAGGGAGAAACACATCCGGTGGAATGCATACAACGATTAATTGGTCATCCTATACAGGAAATGCGTGTGTAACTGCAGCCACCACTGATATCATTGGTGACACATAGTGTCACCAATGATAGTGTCCATGACGCAAATTGCATGAAGCAGTTTACACGAAGGCGTTGGGAATTGGCAGGTAATATGAGGTGCATAAGGCGATGTCTGACCTTCCATGCCTCTTTTAAACAATCGGTACCTCCGTGTATTTTAGTCAGGTGTGGAGAACTGCTGTTGCAGGAGCCGATGAGGAGACACAGCACATCAAAGGCGAATATTGTGATAGTAAAAAATAATATGCTAATGTAATGAGTTTCTGATATGCTCGTATTAACTACCAAACATTTGAACGACTGTATTACATTGCACATCTCGCCAAAGACAAAACACCTAGCTGTAAGGATGCCGAGTGCAGAGTCGTCGAATTGCAGACCTTCGTCCCCTTGCCTCCGCACGGACGTCCGTGACTCGACATCGGGAGTACAGGGCTAAGGTGTCAAGTCACGTTGACACACGTGTCACTGCACGTGTGACACCGCTGACACCCGATGAATTGCAGCCCCGCATACCTCGGTGCCAGCACCCGGCACTCGTCAAAGGCCCAGCGCCCATCCGCGCCGCCAAGAGTTGAGAGGCTTAGCATTTAAAAAGATGGGCTGACTCATTCACGCAGTGGAGCAGCCGGGCCGGGCTGAGCCGTTTTTGGCGGTGGGCAGCCACGATAAGACGTATGTACTTGACTTGCGGGACCGTTGGGTCGCATGTTTTAGCCTAGCGAAGTGGACGGTGAGCGACGGAGCAGCAAGCGGCGTGCGACGGACGGCGGGCGGCGGAAACACTGCTCCCCGCCCCTGCCACCCGGCTGGACGCGGGCGGCGGACAGCCAGCTTCCCGCCCCCGCCACCCTGCTCGGGAGGTCGCCGCCTCGGTTACCACAGGTCGGCTCCGTTTGATAACGGTCAGCAGCCGCAGTCACGAGCGGTGCTGGCAAGGACACCTGTCACTCACGAACTGGGGTGTAAGTCGCTGGACTATCCCAAACAGCCCGGAACCTCAGCGATATCACGTGAGTACTGAGTACCGTGCCAACGATTCTCAGGTGTACCGACGGCGCGTCGGTACTTAAAGGGACCCGCCCACCTTCAAAAAAGTTAATGAATCGGCATGAAAGTGATGTCGCTCGGTTCAGAAAGAGCGAAAACGAATATCTACCAAATTTCACCGAAAAATACTCACCGGTTTTCAAGATATTGGACTTTTACTTTTGTTTACTTTTTGGGATCCCCGCTGTTCCTAGCGACTTTATTTGGAAGCAATAGTTTGGCAGCTGAAAGTGCGGCGCTTGTTGCGCGCAAAGCAGCATATAGGTACCACCGCATGCTACGGAACGTTTTAGTCAAACATTTAAAAATCGTTAGATCTGCGCTGACGTCACACATTCAGAGGGGTATTCAAAAGCATTAGCGCTGACGTCACACATTCAGACGTCTGAATCCAAATGCTGCAATTTTGAAATTCAATATTTCCGATTTAAGGCATTTCTCGATGTTGTGAGTGCTGAAACCGGTAATTGTGAGCCAGGGACCCCATTTTGGCAATCTCAACTCAAATCTAATGTTAAGGTGGGAGGGTCCCTTTAACCCGCGCCCCGCTGGGCTATTCAGCCATACGCGCCCTGCTGGGGGGGGCAGATTCTGCCCCCCCCTGTCTAACTTCCGAACCGCTGGTCGTAGAAAGACGGGGGAAAACGGCAATCGAAAGCTCTCAACAAGGCGGATCTTAAGAGCCCAAATTTTTTTGCTTAAGTAGGTCAGAGGTCAGGTCAAGGTCAGGTCAAGGGTACAAAATGCAAGTTTCTGCAGTATTGGCCTTGCACCGTAGTTGCCGAAGAATGGACTGAGACTGATTGCCCAAAACGTGTTCTTAGACTACCAAGACAATATTCGTTGCACACAATGTCATTCAAAGGTCAAGGTCAAGGTCAGGTCAGGTCAGGTCAGGTCAGGTCACCAAAAACAAAATATAGAAAAGGGCATGTGCGACACATGTTTTATGGGTCATTTTACTCATGGAATTCAATAGACACACTCAATAAGTGATATGGACCACCTCTGGATGAATTTCAGGTCGAGGTCAGGTCAAGGTCAGGTCAAGTGAGGTCAAATTTTGAAGTTGGTTGTTAAGGCCTAAAAAGGTGTCTATCCGATGCAGTTTTTCACGGCAAATCGAATGGTGCTATTTTTATTTCCGTACGAGGTCTAGAACTTCCAAAAAAATCATTTTTCAAAATTTTTGTGTGTCGTGACGTCATAAAATTTTGAATAACTCCCACATTTTTGAACCGATTCTTCTAAAAATTGGTATGTAGATGCACATAGACCACTTCTTTGACATATATTCCGGTTTTTTCGATAAACTCAAAATTTTGGATTTTATAAATATTTTCCCAAAAAAGTCAGTTTTTTGGAAAAATTTTGGCCAAAATCCAAAATTTTCAAAACACCGAGATAGCCATTTGATAGACAAAGTAGAATCACGTATAACCTTTTTTGTTACGTCTTGATTCCTTTAAAAATGAAGAAGTTAGCGGCGTTTGAAATTTTGCCGTTTTTTAGGCGAAAATGGCGAACATGACGTCACTAAAACGTCAATTTCTCAAAAATTTTCCGACGGATTTCGCTCAAATTTTCAGGGAACGTGTCAAATTGATGTATGATAAGGTACTGAAAGTTTGACGTCGCTGGCGTAACGCGTTTAGAAGTTATTGGCGAAAAACGGGAGGGGGGGCAGATTCTGCCCCCCCCCCCCCCAGCGGGGCGCGGGTTAAGACAGCGACGTGGCGTCTCTTCTAACACCGCCGCCGAGGCGGTGGCTTGGAGTTGGATCACCTAATGGCGGTCACCTAATGAGGTGGCCATTGCCAGACTGCTTGAAGTAGTCTCCAAACCGGTTAATGGAGATGCAGCTTTGCAGCTAGCAGTGAGTCCCCAATGGGCTGAGCAGTTGCTATCCAGTGGAGGCCTCGAGGAGGCGAAATTCTCAGCGTGAGAGCAGTTTCGGCAGTTGTCGCCAACGCTGAGCTGTCTCGGTCTGTCTGTGTCACACTAAGTACCTTTCCTATGATAAGCGTCGCGGTTGGCTGACTATGTGAAGAACAGCCTTGCTGGAGGGTGCCGGCGGTATCGACCGGCCTCTCGAGTGAGATCCTAACCATATATACTGAGAGATACCGAACAATGGACACAATAGTTGAGAGCATAGGATAGGCTCGGTGGGCATTGTTTGCATGGCGATAACAGTCACAATTACCCATCAGTGTGGCCGAGCGGCCGAGCCATACATTCCGGGCACTCAGACTAGGCAACGTCAGTGTGGAGTACATGGGAAGGTCAACAATTGATACAACAAAGCGGGGAGGATTTATTGCATAACTTTGAAGCCGTCGTTCTGGGTTCACATTGTTTCGGTGATGTAATAAAAGAGATGCGAGATGCGTTAGAGGAATACAGCCTTCTACCTGGCAACTACGCTCACCTGTATTGTCTGAAAAGTTTCCCTTGCTCGCACAATATTGCTCGGATCTCCTCAGACTCCAAATGTCTCAATTTCACAGCACAACTGGTAGTATAACAGACTCACAATCACTGCATGCTGGAAGCCCGATGCTATCCAAAAAGATTATTCGACCGGTGCTGTGCCTCAAATCCGGCGACTGTGTGTCGACTGATGTTCTTCCGCGTCCCTCCGTGATGTTCAGCTTCCCTCCGCCTCCCTCCGCGTTCCCGGCCGCTTCCCTCCGCGTTCCTAGCCACTTCCCTCCGCGTCACCCGCTCAGGAGGGCACCACAAGGTCTACTGGACCAAGGGACGTATCACATAGACTCCAGGTGGTCCGACGTCACGTCCGTCGCGTCACGTCGGGCGCGACGTCACATCATGGCGTCACATCGCGTCACGCCGGACGTTGCACATATCTCGGCAGCCGCTGGCGTACTCCCCCAACGAATCAGTGGCACAGAAACCGCACAGAAGTCGCCCAGAAGCCGCCCGGAAACCGCACAGCCTCCCCGCAGCAGCCAGGTCTTAACTATGCCTGACTCGCGCGGCAAGTCAGAGTCACGTCTTCACTGCTTTATAGGTGCGAGGCTCGAGAGAGCGACGCTCGCTGACCCGACCGGGCTCACTCATCGCGGTGGTGGTAGAAATGTGTCTGCACGTTTGTGCAGAGGTCACGAGGGATGCACACGGCACGGCGTTGCACACGGCATCAGATGTGTTCCGATCCAGTCGTGCGGATGTCCCATGACTGAAAGATTGCAGAGCGAGTGCCTCATGACGTGGAGTGCACTGGTGAGCGGATATCCTAGTGCAACCATAGATAGAGAACAGATAATTGCAAAATATTGCACTTTGATGAATGGGTATTGCGTTAGGGTTCCTTTTTAGCTGCTTGATGTATCATCGTCTTGTTTTAGAGGTGTATTCATCAAACACTATCAAGTTGGTATTAACCCTCGCCCTGGCAGGGGGGGGGGGGTCGATGCGACCCCCCCCCCTAAGGTTTTTCGAAGATAGCGTAAAAACGGCGGCGCGCAGCGCCGCCAAATTTGGCACAGCCTATGGGGCAACCTTTTTACATATGACCTGAAAATTTCAGGTCCGGATGACCTTGGGTCAGGTCATCAGGTCAGAAAAACCGGTACAAGGTCATGGTCAAATTTCAATTTTCTTTTTGCACCTGTCCAAC